TAGTTTGACTCCCTAAAATGTGCAACTCCCCAAACGATTACAATGGTTGGCTCTTCTTTGAATCGTTCCCCAAAATGGCGGCTTTAATATGATGGCGTTCGAAAGAGAGCTAAATTGGCCAATTTCCTGCCATAAAATATCCAAATGCGGGTCAGTTCTATTAAAAATATATGTGCCGGCTCCGGATAACGAAACAAATGCTCTGACGGGGTCTCTGCGATACGGTGCTTGCCGACCTGCTTCTGCAAGTGTGCCTCACTGCCGAGCGTATCCCCCGGGGGCTAAACTAGATGGCTGGGACTCACGAGTGGAAGCTACCGCATCTCCTGCAACTTCCTCCAATTACTGTACTCGTGAGTCCCAGGCACCTAGATACGCTCGGCGATGAGTTTAATCGCGTTTGGCGCATGCCAAGTCTGACATCTACCGCTGCTAAATCCTCCAATTGGAAGAACACAGTAGTGCTAATCGCTTTCGTCGTCTGTAATGTCTCGAAATTGGTCAACAGTCGCTAATATCGTCTGCTAGTATCGTCGTCTGTAATGTCTCGAAATTGGTCAACGGTCGCTAATATTGTCTGCTAGTATCGTCGTCTGCTAGTATCGTCGTCTCTAATGTCTCGAAATTGGTCAACGGTCGCTAATATCGTCTGCTAGTATCGTCGTCTGCTAGTATCGTCGTCTGTAATGTCTCGAAATTGGTCAACGGTCGCTAATATCATCTGCTAGTATCGTCGTCTGTAATGTCTCGAAATTGGTCAATGGTCGCTAATATCGCCTGCTAGTATCGTTGTCTGCTAGTATCGTCGTCTGCAGAAACGCCATAAATATTTGTCAACGGCCGGTATTTATCGTCTGCTACTAGTACCGTGTGTAATGTTGATAGTGATTGTCAAGTAATCCTAGTTTTGCCGCGATTTGTCCCTTGGCAGACAGTCCGTATTTTAGATATACGGGAACACCATCGTTCGGATATTTGTGGATATTTTATGGCCAGAATGTGGCATGCCGCCATTTTGGGGAATGAATCAAAGTAGTGCCCAATGGTTTGAAACTTTAATATGCTGAAATTCTACAAATGTTAACATTAGTCCCTCACATCAATATGCTGAAACTCCACAAATGTTAACATCAGTTCCACACCTCAGGGTTCTCAGCCAAGCTGGTGTGCTTGGCTGGGGCATTATTACATACTGAGGCTGCGGGTCTGGCCCGTGAGATGAGTTCTGAGAGGTCTGTGGCTGAGGGGCCGGAGCAAAGGTGTACTAGGCAGCGCCGCCGTTGTACTGGTAGTTTCGTGGCCCAGCTTCTGAGTTGAGTGCATGGCGTAACACTGTGAGCTGCGTTTATTTTTAGTTGGCACAGGAGCGGAGCATCTGTGGGGTGACCCGTTTGCTATGAAGCTGAAACTAGGATTGCCAGATTACACCTCAAAATGCTGAAAACTCCACAAATGTTAACATCAGTCCTACACCTCAAAATGCTGAAACTCCTCAAATGTTAACACCAGTCTTACACCTCAAAATACTGAAGCTCCCCAAATGTTAACACCATTCTTACACCTCAAAATGCTGAAACTCCTCAAATGTTAACACCAGTCTTACACCTCAAAATACTGAAACTCCTCAAATGTTAACACCAGTCTTAAACCTCAAAATACTGAGACTCCACAAATGTTAACACCAGTCTTAAACCTCAAAATACTGAGACTCCACAAATGTTAACACCAGTCTTAAACCTCAAAATACTGAGACTCCACAAATGTTAACACCAGTCTTAAACCTCAAAATACTGAGACTCCATAAATGTTAACACCAGTTTTCTTCTTCTTCTATTCCACCTTGTACCTCATCAAAGTGTCGGGGGGAGGAGGGGGGGGGGAGAGGGGGGGGGGGGGTAACACCAGTCGTACACCTCAAAATGCTGAAACCCCACAAATGTTCAGATCAGTCAAACAGGAAAAGGAGGAGATGCTAAAGCAGCATAGAAGGTCTCCTCTGTATAAGCAGAGGGACAAGACAGGAAACTACTTCTAACTCCGCTCCGTTATGCTTTATGGCATAAGCAGTAAGACAAAAGACCAAACAAAATGACAAATAATTCATTGGATGGGACATGTGTCCAAACTTTACTGAGAACCTACCTTGCATAAAATGTTGCTGTGGCTGAAATGGAATGCCCGCGCCTGTATAGGGCTGGGCCGTATGTTGCTGAATGGGAGGATGAGCTGGTGTGCTTGGCTGGGGCATTATTACATACTGAGGCTGCGGGCCTGGCCCATGAGATGAGTTCTGAGAGGTCTGTGGCTGAGGGGCCGGAGCAAAGGTGTACTGGGCAGCGCCGCCGCTGTACTGGAACTGTGGGGCGGAGATGAAGTTCATCGAAGAGTGGCCCTGTGCCATGTTCTGCTGCCCGGACATTGAGCTGCGGGACACAGCGGGCATGCCGTGAGTGTAGTTGACAGTCATCTGGGGGTAGTGTTGGGGCTGGGGGGTTGCCGACTGGGGCGGCCCCTGGGAGATGTGATGGGGCATTTGCTGGGAGTTCTGCTGCTGGTGCTGCACCGGAGAAGGTACTGGGTTGGGAACATGGGCCGGCTGGCTGGTGGCAGGCAGGCTGATGGCCTGGGCGTGGGCTGGCTGAGGGTGGAGATGCGCTGGGATTGGTGTGTGTAGTGGCTGCTGTTGTGTCGTTACTGTAACAGAAATAAAGAAACAATAATATTCACAAATGTCTTGGATTTGGTTAACAGTGCAGCTGTGGCTAAGAGTTTAATGAATGCCCTTAACTCTTTATGGACTTAGGACCACTCAAGTGGCTTTTGAATCCATCCTGTTCGGACTATTAGCCATTAAAGTGGCGCTTGACAGAGACACTCTGTTGTTTCGTTTGCTGGGAAAACGAATTTGTATGAACATGGTTTGAAAAACTAGAATTAGCGAAATGAAGTAATTTTGTTTTTGGAATTTAGTGTAGTGTTTGTGTCCGTTTATGATTTTTTAAAATTAATTACATGTGACACAATTTTTAAAATTTTATTTTTATTTTTCCCAATCAAATGATAAGGGAAAAGATCTAGAGCTGTTCATACCACTCTGTCGTTGATGAACATCAGCCAGATAGTGACAATGGTCTTGCCATTATAACTGATAATGCACGTACGAAACTGACTGCCGATAATTTAGGTTAGGATGAAGATTGAAGAAGAAAAAAAATTGTTATCCCCGTGTGGGTTCCGTGGCCCATTGTGGGGAAAACAAGAATAGACTCACTGCCTCCCCAAAAGCATGTCGTAAGAGTCGATTATTTGAGGAGCTTCCTTTAAAGTCGGAGTGCATCTGCCGGAGAGGCAAGGAACCAACAGTCTGTATTCAAGAGAATGAGATCTGTAAAACTGATGCACACGCAACACTCAGGTTCTGGAGCAGGACTACAGTTCAGTAGCGGACGAGCAACCAGAACCTTCCGCCAGAGTTTACAGCTGGTAAACACGAAGAAGAAGAAGAAGAAAAATTTTAATCGGATCAAGTTTCGATCAGCTGTTTTCCCAATTTCGGTTGTTGTGAAATCCTAATTGTCATACAAAAATTGTCGTAACATTTAAAGCATTTAAATTATTGTTTCAAATAAAGACTAGCTGATACATAATTGAACACAGAAATAATGTGAATTCTTAAAAATGGATAGTAGTGCTGTTGAACAAGTAAAAAGTAAGGTAAGCACAACATTTTTGGGTAAATAATCTTTATATGTGTCTAACATCCTAACAATGTTGTGTGATTTTAAAAATATTTTGTTGCAATACTGATATTTAAATAGTTTAGATCTATTCTGCATTCATTTCTCTTTAAATTGATACATTATATGTCCCTTCACAACCAATACTTTTTCTTTCAGGAAGATTTTAGCTTTCTCATGCTACAATAAATAGGTTCTGCTCAAAATTAATGCCGTCCAAACCCCAGGAAAAAAAATGTAGTCCTGAATTAGTTAACAAGTTCATGATCCTCGAGTACTACGGCTAAATCTTTGCAGACAGTAATTCCTTTCGTTTTATAAATCAGTTAATCAGTTCTCGCTGTTTTTCCAGTGGATAAAAGCCACAGCCAAACAGATTAGGCTCTCACCTAGTAATACTTCCAAAGACAGCCGTTGGTACACTGTAGCCAATCTTCACTGTGGAGACTGCAGGCCAGTTTTTGTGTTTATTTTTTTTTAAATTGGTCCTTCAGTATCTATCCCCTTATGGATCACATAATGAGAATCACTGCACAGTGCATAAACTGTAACCCTGGTGTGGATCTGTGTGTGTTTATAACAGAATCTGACATCTTAACAACTCAAGTCCCAACCTATAATGTTTAAATAGTGGAAAGCCCTCTTTGTTTTGGCTACTCTGCTTGTTCTTTCTTATTCTTCTTCTGCGTTCATCCGAAGATGTGTGTCCGTTTACAGTATGGCCGCGATATTTACGCCTTTCAGCCAGCACCTCCGACTTTAGTTGACCGGATTAGCCTCCTCGTTGCATGTTCTTTCAGTGCTGCTTACTCCATCTGTTGCTATAACTGTAGAGGGCATGGTAGCAGGAACCAGGTTTCAGGAAGATGGGCACAAGATATAAGTAACACTTCTGGACTTTGATCCTGCTTTTCATGACATGGGAGCCAGTGGTTCCTTCCCTCCCCAGTCTCCAATGGAGTTCAGAAACCCACAAAAGAAAACTCGAAATTCAACATCTATTTATTTATAAGCACTGCCCTGAAACCTGTGCCCCTTTAGCCTTAGACTAAAGCTTTTAATAAAGGTGGTCTTCTTCTTCTGCGTTTATCTGAAGATGTAGACGCGTTGTGACCATTTACAACATGGCTGCAACACATGCACCTTTCGGTCGACGTTTTCATTTTCTGCAGGCATTCTAATATGTACATTCTCCAAAAACCTATTTTGTGCTGACAATTTTCTGGGCACCACTTGTCTGTCTTGCAACCACATTACACTTACTGAAGACAGGTTGAGGTTGATGCTGTGAGGCTGCTTGTTCCATGCCAGCCACTTGTCCGGCCTGGGCCATAGACAGTGAGCCAGGGGCCATCATACGAGGGCTGATCATCTGTGATGAGTAGAACTGTCGGGAGATAACATTTAAAATATTATATCCTGCTTCTGCAAGAAACTTTCAGTAACAGGGCATGACCAACCATACAACTATGCAGGTGTCATTGATAAATATTATTTACTACATAAGTGTGTGTTCTTTGTGTGGGTTCCGAAGCCTTGTAGAGAAAACAACAATAGACCCACTTCCTCCCCAACAAGATTGTGGTAGGAGTTGACAAATTGTGGACATCCTTCGAAGTCAGAGTACATCTGCCTGAAAGGCAAGGGACCACAAGTCTGCATACAAATAAACCAGATCTGCTAAATGGATACGCACGCCACACTCAGGTTCTGGAGCAAGACTAAAGTCCAGAGGTGGACAAACACCCAGAGCTTTCCGCAGCAGTTTACAGCCGGTGAACGCAAAGAAGAAGACAAGTGTGTGTATATGTGCCTGCAGGTGCATGTACAAATAAACTTTATTTTCAAAGGGTCATGAATTTCACATTAAAGCTGTTTTACATTAGGCCCTTCCAAACATTTATCTTTCACACAGCAATTGTATTTTATCTGTAAAGCATAATTTGTCCATATCAAGGGGCATTCATAATGTTATGCATCACATTTTCCCCTCAGTAGACAATAAAGACAGAAACATGATATTTTGCATATTGCCTTTTTGAAATATCAATATCATATGCATGAAATAACGCTTATTCAGACAAAAACAGTTGCGTCATTCTGTTAAAGCAGAAAATACGGACAATGTGTGTCACAAACAGCAAACTGTTGTAAACATGCATTCATAAACATAAACATGCCTTCATAAACATGCGGGTGCTGTGTATAAAAGTTGTGCAACTCAACAGGGGCACTATTGGTTGCTGGGGTCAGAGAGGTAAAGCTTTAGAAAGTGGAGATATAAAGCTGAGATATTACTCATGCTGTGAACTAATGTCTACATGAACAGAAAACACCTCATACTGGCAATCTGTACAAGCATTTGTTTCAAGTTGGCGCCAGCTTTTAACAGTGGGTGGAGATAAGACATTTCTGACGAGTAAATGACAACAGTTACATAGTCAGTGAAGGTCATACATTCTAGTGTGTGAGAAAACATTTCTGAGCACCATCTTTGTAACGCCCCTCACATATTCTTCCTGGTCATCTGTGCAGTCTTGTCTTGGCAATATAAAACTCTGCCAACAGCTTCGTATGGCTATAAAAACTGAGAGAAAAGCAGCACTGAATCAACTAAACAGCTACAGCTGATATCCTATAGCTATACAGAGAGATATACACACAGCCAAACAAACAAACACAGACCTGGTAGGCTGCAGGCAGAGCTTGTCCCGCAGGCTGTAAATACATCATGCTGTGTGGTTGTGTAGCTAGCAACGGTTGTCCGGTGACTTGATGGGCAGCTAGATCAACTCCAGCACCCAGAGAGACAGTGGCTGCAAATATAGGTGACCCACAAACAAGTTACCAAAGGTAAAACAACATTGAGAGAAGATTGGCCCAAATCTCTCATGCAAAATAATTGTCCTGTCTCTGAAAGTCAAAATTTGCAAGAGCAACTCCTGCTGACAAAGTCCGTCTGACCAAAGTCTCTAGAAAAACTGACCATCCATTTATCGCTCTGGCTCTTGTAGGTAGGCAGTTAATTTGCTATCACACACTTGCAGCGAGCACCATGACCTCAGCACCTATTGCTATACCCATGTCTTGTCTTGTTCAATCAGCACAGCCGGAGAAGGTCCAGGAGTCATTGCCCAGGTCGTCTAGGGAATAAACAGAGGGACTGCTACTGAAGATTGGTGTTCTCCTACTGAGCATGCTCCCGTTTTTGTCTTCTCAGCACATTAGCAGATACTGGGGCTTGAACTTTTCATGCATCTAGTGCATTAGGCATATAGGACTAGACCTATACGGAGTCATCAAAAATAAATGCCAGGATTTTAAACTGATACTATAAAAGAGGTATTCAACCCTTTCACTCCCTTAACTAATTTAAAAAAAGAAATGTAAACACAAAAAATTTCTACGCAGGCCTCTAACTAATTTGTTAAAAATTTGTTTTATCGACCTTTCTAAATTATTTTTTCAAAATATATAAAGATATATGAAAATATGAAAGAGGTGTACGGTAAACACGTATGGGGCGAAGCATTAAATTGCATACATCTCCATCATTTACGGGAAATTGGACCCAACTGAAAGTGTTCGTTTTTCGGCTCCGCAGGGCGAAAAGGTTAATGGAAATATGTATGCAGCATCTAAGAATCTTTAAACAAGTTTAACAATATTTTGGTGACCCTGCGGCTTAAAATTTGCGCTGGGAAAATAAAGAACATTCAATACCTTAGAGAGAGGGTATTGCAGCAATTGCAACAGAACTCTGGATGTGATCAGAAGATGTGGCGGAAGACTAAATACTATCTAGACATCATCAGAGCTACAAACGGTGCCTAGATGGAAGTGTACTAAGGTAAAAGTCTAAAACTAAAAAAAATATATATTTTTTTGCACTTCAAATGTCAGGATCACCAAGGTGTCCACGACATGTAGGGGACAGCCATTGAATCTAGCCATTCACGCCAGGAGTCTGCAAGTTTCTGAGAACCGCTTTATATTCACAATGGGAACCTTAACACCCAGGGGAATGAACTGTCAGCAGTTTTATTTAAAAAATTCATGAGTTACGGCCCTTGGCATTCCGGGAATATATTTATGCTTGGGACCACAGGTGTCTCTTCATTCCACTGGCAAGACATCAACGTGGTAGCTTCAGGATACGTCAAAGATTTTGTGTATTCATGTGGTTTTGTTTGATTTATGTATGCGCTAATGAAGGCTCTGTAGATGCAACATTCACTTTTTGTTAGTCTTATATTGTGAAGCTTGCTGATCTACTTTTGATTCGGTTTTATATCTTTCCAATAAAATGTTTTGGAACATTTTAAGACGCCACATGAGTTTATCCATTACCTGCTTTATAACAACAGTTTAAAACCTCAGCAATAATTCTCTCTGACCCTTTGTATTTTTTATAGAACAATTGGCACTCAAGGAATGATGCGGTAATCATCATGACAATCATATTTACTTACTACAACACTACCCGGTAGCCATTTTAGGCTGGATGGACCTGGAAGCCAAGGTCAACAAAACAATTCTTTTTAAAAATCTCATTCAATAATTATTCAAACCCTAGACCTTCGAGCCAGTAGGCAAGTGTCTACACTACTGCGGTTCCTTAGGCTGTCATATATTCTAGGCTATGATATATGAGCTGAGGGGGACCAATTCCTTTCTTCTCCACAAATTTTTACCCAGACAATTACCTAAACATTGTGACCTATTCCCTTCTTCTCCACTTATTTTCTTAGTCAATGTCATCTGGCGTTGGTAGTCATGTCTATCCACAACCTTCTGTCTTTCAATCAATTTTGACACAGATGATATTTCATGCCATAATGTCAAAGTGTCCAGGATCTTCTTTCTTGGTATCCCTCCTCCTCACTTTCCCCTCTAACTTTCCCATGGTCATTAAGTACTCCAGTTTTCTCCTTCTTATGATATTACCAAAAAACATAAATTGTCTCCTGACGTGGGCAATCAGTTCTTCTCATGAGTCAGATCTGTCAAACATATGCACACGCAACACTCAGGTTCTGGAACATGACTGCAGTCCAAAAATAGATGAACAATCAGAACTTTCCACCACAGTTTACAGCTGGTGAGCACAAAGAAGAAGAAGAAAAAGAAGAAGAAAGAAGAAGAAGGAAGAAAATATATGGGCATGATGCATCAAGAACACAGAAAGGGTGCTTTACTTGTTTATACTACCAGACATCCCATATCTCATACATTTTGATTGTGCAGGAAATTGAACTAAGGGTTATATCAAGACTATATCAAGAATAAACAAAAGTTTAACATTTCATATCTAAATGGCAGGATCTGCATTAGGACTACTTTTATCTTCACAACTAAAAGATATTTTAATTTTAAAGTTTACTGTGAGACAAGTGGTGGGAGGTGCACATAAGTATACAGTCAAATCTCACCTCTTTTTCTCTGAGCATTTAATGGATTGGCCATGATGTAATTATATGGAACTAGAACTGTTTGTTGTGGAGAATAATTCACCATTTGTTGTATATGAGGCGAACTGCGAGGCTGTGGAGAGGGAGACTGAGTCTCAATCTGGACTGGCTGTGTTTTCTGATAAAAGACATAAAAAGAAACAACAATTAAACATGTTTTGTAACACTAAAAAACTATCACTGTCAAAATAGTTAAAATTAAAAGTACAGGTGAAAAAGACACACACATAGATTTTCAAATAACAAACACAGTTCTCAATGCATGACCACAAAACAGATAAAACTTCTAGAACTTTTGTATTCCAATAAGATCTAATCACATTTAACTATGTCAGGAACTGGTCAGTGGGCATGGCAGATAAGAAGTTTAACAGTACCAACCCAGGTAATGTAATTCTCTCTCTCTCTCTATATATATATTGGTCTTATTTTGTGAGGCAGTGCCTGGGGGTTTACAGCAAAAGTGAATGGATGTCGCTTACAGCAACAAAGCCTGGCATTTGATTTCATGATGAGAATGGAGGTGGAGGCAGTCACTGCTGTGCTGCCTTCAGATGGCTTGAAAACCAGTTGAACGCACATGACACTGTAAATGACTCACATAGCAAGAAGAGAAGGGTGGAGACAGGTTTGCTTCATGCGAAATGGCAAACACTGCTTTAGAGATCCAGGGTAGGCAGCATACTTTGAATTTTTTCTCCAGGGGCATGCTGATGTGTTGGAAAATGAACATGCAGACCGGCTGGTTCTGCATCTCAAGCTATATTCTGTAAAGTTCCTTTGGGAGTGAGTGAACAGTGCAGAGGCACAAACATATCATCACGGGCTCTGAAGAACTGTCTGCTCATTTTCCAAAACACCAGCATGATCTGGAGAAAATATCCAAAGGATGCTAACTAACCGGGACCTCTGAAGTGATGCTTGCCACTCTGCACGGAGCATGCTTGTCTCCACCTTTCTCAGCATACGTACAGTAGATAGTGACTGCCTCAGCCATGCGGCCCTAAATTTTCAAGACCTGCTGGGGGGGGGGGGGGGGGTAAACATAGTTTTTAAAATAAAATTATTCATACATTTTCCCAGTGTGAGTTTCCAGGCCACATGGGAAAAACAAGAACAGACCTACTGTCTCGCCAACAAGTATGTCATAAGAGTCCACTAACTGGAGGCTTCTTTGAAGTCTGAGTGCATCTGCCTGAGAGTCAGGTACCAACAGTCTGCATTCAAATAAATCAGATCTGTAAAAGAGATGTGTGTACAACACTCAGGGTCTGGAGCAAAGTGGACAAAGAACCAGAATTTTGCACAGAAGTTTATAGCCGATAGACAGGAAAAAGATTCATAAATTTAAAACTCCTCCCCTCTTCCATAAAAATGATTATTTAAAGTACTTACTGGTTTGAACTCTTTTGCATTTGGATTGAGTTTGGATTTCCTGTATTAAAAAAATTCAGTTATGTGTTAACAGATAATGAAATTTCATGGCATTGAAAGAAAGAAATTTCATTCAATTAATATCATTTTTTCACATTTAAATACCATTTCTGCACAATAGCAGCATCCTCAAGTGTGGATGACACAGGGCAGTGAAAGATTGTAAACTTGATAACTAGGGTGATCACATGTCCTGTTTTCACCAGCACTGTCCAGTTTTTGTTAAGGTATCTCCCGGCCGCCCTGTCCATACTCCAATTGTCTAATTTTATACAAATCGAGGTATCAGCAAGAGAACAGAACATAACCTTATAGTTATATCTCTAGGTCTTAGATTTAAATAGTTTTAGATACTCTTAATGCCTAAAATTCACCTGGCCTCAAAAGCAAAGTGTGCAGAGCAAGCTATGGGGAACCATGCAGGACCTGCTACTGACATACGAGTTCATAGAGGCAACCCACCTGATGGTCTGATCAGAGCACACAAAAACCGAACGCAAAGAAGAAAAAGAGCATATTTTGTCTGAGTCACAATGATGGTTCGCATTATATCTTTGTTGAGCGGCGGCGTGGGGTGGGGTTTTTTTTTTAGGCCCCTCCCAAAAAAAACGGTGGAGTTAAACTGACTGGCTGTCATGTTCTCTGCTCAAAATAATGAAATGTCCTGTTTTCATCTCAGGATATTACAGACACCCTTTCGATAAGGAATACCCTGAACAGAAAAAACCAGCAGACCAGAAGTAAAGGAAATCACCTGTCAATGCCTACTATGAGGGGGGTTTCACATGAAAAACCTTATAAGTGTGACAAAAATTACAAAAGTGCGATTGAAATCTCAAAAGAAAACCATCTTTAAATTCTCATTATGACATCACTGTGTTCATCTACACAATGATGTCACATGCTTAACATTCTTGACATCCTTAACAACAATTGCAGTGACGGGTTGCAAGACAATAGCACCGTTACTGAAAACTTCTATCACACTTTTAAAATGTTCACCTGAAGCCCCCCTCCTACGCCAACAACGACAAGAAGAAGATTCAGACAGATATTGTGTAGTGCCTTACTGTGCTGACTGAGACTCCTCCAGACTTTCTGCTTTAGCCAAGACTTCTGCTGCCTGTTCTGTGGGCTGTGCTGGTGCTTCAGGGGCAGCAGCTGTAGTTGTCGTTGTTCCCACATTGGAAGTTGTAGGAGATGTAGACACAGCAGAGCTGTCAATTATGCCATCTTGTCTCACTGGTTCTTGTGAGGTTCCTCCATTGGACTCCTGAACGAGCAAAAAAATGTGCTTAAAATTTGCAGATGACGTAGCTAAAAGAGTGTTAAAGGTCAAAAAAGAGAAATACTTTAAATAATTTTAGGCTTCGGACAAGACATTGTGATCTTAGAAGCATAGAAAAGACATAAAAGAATCTGCCACCTGTGAATGCGGAGCAGAAACCACCCTCCCCCTGCTTGACTGCACGATTTTCTTCCCAGCAGAGTTTGGAGATCTGGACCCTAAAAGAGCTATATCGCAAGACAAGCTGCGAGAGACTGGTGCTGACCTTAGACACATAGCCCTGTTTGTAACTCAAGCACAGATGAAAGTTTAGCATGGCTGTTGTCATACACAGAAAAATAAGAAACATAAATGAATAAGAAGCTTAACACAACAGTAATGCAAGAACAAATAATTGTGACAACCAGTCTTCATAAAAGAACTACCAGATTAAACATAAAATGCATAAAGGTAAAAGTGAAGAGGTTTAATGATCAGGCAATAAACATGACACACACAAAAACTGAGCTACATCTCAAATAGTGTCCACAATGACTTTAAAGAAGAAAAGACTAAATGAATAATCAAAAAGGAGCATAGAGGCTAGAAGCGTATCTGATAACTAAAATATCTAGAGTTAAAATCTGCATTTAAGCGGTTTTTAAAAAAATGGACAATGGCTTTCAGGCAGGGCCCGATAAAAACCCGTAGAGGCCCTCAGCGATTAAAAAATTCTGCCCCCCCCCCCCCACCCCAATTTACATAATTCAAAATAAAAACAATAATAAACAATTTAATAAATTATTTATTGAAACCGAACTTACAACAATTACAATGTTAGCACAATGTGTGTTGTTCCTGTTGTTATCCCATGTGGCAGAATCTTACAGCAGTTACAATGTTAGCACAACGTGGGTTGTTGCCTAAAATTGTCCCATGTGGCAGAAACTTACAGCAGTTACAATGTTAGCACAACGTGGGTTGTTGCCTAAAATTGTCCCATGTGGCAGAAACTTACAGCAGTTTCAATGTTAGCACAACGTGGGTTGTTGCCTAAAATTGTCCCATGTGGCAGAAACTTACAGCAGTTTCAATGTTAGCACAACGTGGGTTGTTGCCTAAAATTGTCCCATGTGGCAGAAACTTCAGACTTTAACAGTCACAGCAGAAGCTATTCCCAAAGCCAGCAGCACAACTCTATAGTCCCCAGGGACTGATGGATGCCATTACATGTTGCCTGTGAGCATGCTGGACACTCAGTGAGCTACTAGAATTCTGCAGTCTCATTCTCAGTGGATGACAGAATGGGATACCTGACAGGAGCAAAACTAAGACAAGGACAATCATGTGAGCCTCCATGGACCATGGGCAGTTTATCGGATTCCAATTTTTTTGTATTCCTAAAGTTATGGAACATTTCCAAGGCTATGACAAAAAATGCATGTGGTGCCCACCTTCTCCATGCACATATTGCACTTCATTGTTAATCCAGCCCTGCTCCCAGCTCAACCCACCCAGTATAAAATAGGTACCAGGTAATGTCCTGGGAAATAAAGGCAGCTGGCACGATGCTGACTACATCATGCACTGAGTGCTGCAGGCTAAACAGTCTGTATGGTCTTTAAAAAAAAAGCATGAGCCTAACCAGCTGATCGCCACAAGCAGAAAAGGGGTCCTCTATACCTGGGGGGGGGGGGGGGGGGGGGGGGAATAATCACAGAGACTAAAGCAATTACTAATAAACTACAAACATTGATTAAATGGAAACTAAATGGTATGATAGAATCACTAATGTAGAGCTTTGGGAGGGAACTAAACAAGTTCCAGCATCCTAAGAGTTGAAGAAAAGATGCTGGCTTTGGATAGGACACACGCTGAGAAAACCTGAGAATAATACAACTAGAATATCTTTGCACTGGAACCGACAAGATATAGAAATAAAGAAAAACAAAAAACAATTTAAAAAAAAAAACATGGAAAGGGAGCTAGAGAGAAGTTAAAAAGATAAGGAGAGCGTGAGGAGAGCGGCATGCGACAGCGAAGGATAAAACGACTTTGAGTTGGTTGAGGGTCTATTGCTCTACTGGGGGTAAGAAAGGGGGTAGGTAGACTTACATATGTCAACAGAACAGAAACTTACCAAAATGAAATTCTTTTGGAAATCATGTAAAGACTGCCCTATCTTGTTTCTTTCTTCTGCAAGACAATTGGAAGGTGGGAAAAATTTACGTCAATGTACATTTTAACATATTTAATGAATAAGAAACGTATGTCTTTTATCAGTGGGGATGCTCCCACATCTGTAGCTTCAAAACAAAACCAAGAAAACTAAAAATATGAATTCTTTTTTGTGTGCCCTTTATCCCTAAATGGAACAAAATAAGGCCTCAACCAAACTGTCCCATTTTTTTTGCCACAATGTGCAACTCACTCCATGGTCTCCCTTTCTCATTTACATCATCTCTTCACTAATTCTCTTCTCTTCTTTGTTTTTTGTATCTTCTAATACCTTTAACCCTTTGAGTTCCTAAACAAGGACTTTATTACTATATTATCAGGTTTTCTCAAACAGCATCCTTTCCAGAGCCAGCATCTTTTCCTCACCTCCTAATTTGTTTAGTTCTTTCCCAAAGATTCACACTTGTGCTTCTGTTACACAATTTAATACCTTCTATTTTGCAAAGGCCCCAGTTAGACTTCTTCTTCTTAGCATTCTCCGGCTGTAAACTCTGACAGAAACTTCTAGCTGTTCATCATCTTCTTAAATTTTAAGCCTTGTTCCAGAACTTTCTAGTTTTGTAGGCACAATTATATTAAAGACCTGGCTTTTTAATATGCAGACTGTTGGTTCCTCGTCTCCCAGGCTGAGGACTCCGACTTTGAAGGAAATTTGTTAATAAATCTTAAATGGCAGCAAACACCAACTGTCTTTACTGCCTAATTTACCAGCTGCTGGTGTAAGACAGGACGTCAGAGGTTGGATGGATGAACACCACTAGCAGCAGAGAAAAGAATATAATGAAAACATGCCTGGACTAGTTTCTGCTCCTCGACCTACTCGTCTGTCAGGTGCGGGAGCTGCCTGGGTTGCAGGAGGAATCTGGTGCGACCCTACTTGCTGAGCATCAACAAGAGAACTGGACGATGATGATGCTGACATGTGGGCTTCAGGAACTTTCTGACCACCTGCAGAGCTTGAGGCAGGTGGTGGACCTAACACCGGTGGCTTCTGATGGTAGACCTGCTGGCTCTCAACCTGGGGTGTTGTTGGACTGGTCACTTCAGCACATTTCTCTGCTTCTGGCAAAACCAAGAGATGAATGAAATGATAGTACTACAGACACACAGCAAAATCAAGACATGAATGAACTGATATACTACACACATACAATAAAACCAAGAGATGAATGAAATTTTAGTACTACACAAATACAATAAAAGCAAGAGATGAATGAAATTATAGTACTGCAAACATACAAAAAAATCAAGAGATGAATGAAATGATAGTACTGCAAACATACAACAAAATCAAAGAGATGAATGAAATGATAGTACTGCAAACATACAACAAAATCAAGAGATGAATGAAATGATAGTACTGCAAACATACAACAAAATCAAGAGATGAATGAAATGATAGTACTGCACACACAACAAACCCAAGAGATGAATGAAATGCCAGTACTACAGACATTCAACAAAACCAAGAGATTACAGCATGTCTTACAAGACTGCCTAAAGTTTGCATCAGAAAGAAGAAATCTGGTCCTCAGGAGTGACCTTGCAAAAACAAACTATAGGGCCTCAGGGATGATTTCAAATGCACTGTCCAGTTTCTGACTTATGCTGGTATAAATGTACAGCAATCAGTCGCCGAGGACCTTCGGTACTGACATTACCGAGTTAGTATTTTAAAACAATGGTATCCTATTGCAAATTTAAACAATGCAGATACAAGCAACACACTGCACAATTTATTTCCCAGCTTTTTTCACTGTATCTTGTCAGGTGCATTACTAGAGTTAAATCAACACATGATGAAGTATACAACTGAATACTTTGGCAGAAATACACAAACAATCTTGTCAAGTTAGAGTATGCAGCTCTCCACCAGAAATGCAAGATCAGCAAAATTTCAGTTCAAATTTATCATGTGTTTGTTTTGTTTACATAAAACAAGAGAGTTCATTTTACGGATCTGACCACAGCTAGTTTAACTTCACAATGTGATTAATGTGTTGCAGCCAAAAGGATTGATTTTTATGCCTAATTATATGTGGAGTATTTGCCAGGTGAAAACTGCACATCTTACCTTTGTTGGTAGGTAAAGGTACTGTTTGCCGAATATCCTGAGTAACTGGGGGCGGTCCCAAAGGCCCGTTGACACTTGCCCCTCTAATACTGGCAGACTGCTGGATGGGCGACTGCTTGTAATGTGCACCCAGCTTCTGTGGAGGCGGATGCTGGGTCTGGGGTGGGAGCTGATGTGACTGAGATGCTAATGGGGAGGATGTAGGCGGGGCATTCTGAGAATAGGAATGAGGTGGGTGAGGCTTGCCAGGGTGCTGGCTGGGCGACACTGGCTGCTGGTGATGATGTGGCGGGGGTCTGTGTTGCTGGTGGTGCTGCGAGACTCCTGGGGGTGCGTGCTGCTGCATGCCTGGGTGCAGCGGCGGTGGCTGCTGGTACTGCTGCGGTTCATTGGGCCCCCAGCAGGAGGGGAACTGTGGAACTGGTTGTTCATCTGTCTTGCTGTCTGCTGCATGTTTTGATGAGAATGCTGGGGTGGTTGTTGGGAGTGTCCTGCTGAATGAGGTGGCCCTCGGCCTTGGGTTCTGTAGCTATCATTCCTCATTGTCTGTTCACCTTCTTCTCTCAGTGCTGGGGCAATGTAACTAAAAAGAAATATAGAATAACTTTTAAAAAAGAAATTTAACACCATCACCATGAAAAGCATAAAACCCGTTGTTTCCGAATATGTTGTCATTAACATATAGGAGTGCTTAGGTGTAGTAAGTAAGCACAAGGGATAAGCGTGAGAGTGTATGTGTAGTATCTCAGAGTGATATGTATATGTCAATGCTTGTTTATGTACGAGTGTTATATAAATTAGCGTATACATGGGTATGCGTATGTATGCATGCATGTTTGAACTGTTGTTGTTTAGGTATAAGAGTGTGTGTGTATGTATGTAGGCATGTATGTTTATTTGAGTTATTTCTTTGCCATCCGTGCTTTTGTATCGTTCACGCTATGTATTCTGCCAAATGGACATAACAATCCAACTGATGTGTGAAAGATGAGTGTACAGAAGGGTCGAATGTAAAATGGGTCTATGTGCCCAATTTGTGACCACTGATTAATAAAGTTTCATTCATTCATTCAAACTAATCACAATCTAAACTGGCAAGGCAACTGTTTTGTGCAGAGCTCAAGTCTCAACAAAAATGCAAAAAAACCAATCAAGTGTTTTTTTAATGGAATTTAAATGTTTAAAAACAAAAACAATCTGTATTTTTTTTCTTAAATGAAATGTGGCAGACATACTTATTTTTTCCACTGCCAGCGCTCGACCCCTGATGTCGAGATGAATGTGCACCCGGCTCATTTCCTCTGTGGACAGCTGAAAACAGTGCCTCTTCATCGCCATCCTTCAACTCTTCTGCTATTCTGGCCTGGTATACCTCGCTGTGTTCGATTTCCTCTGCAAGCCTCTGGGCAAACTTTTCCTTCTCTTCATAGCCCTCAGATGATGGGTCTGGTAGTTTAGTCCTGTTCAAAAAGAAAGCAAAAGATGAATGGTATGTGTGCTGTGCATCAGTGACAGATGTATGAATCAGCTCCAGTTAGAACCCTTAATTGCTTTATAAGGTTTTAGTTTGTGGATATGACTTTGTACTTTTCACAGCCAGGGAAACAATCACATCATATACACAGCAGCAAATCAGAATTTATTTTTAGGCTAGAAAATTAAAAACTGAAATATGTCTGAGAAAGGCTTTGGGAGTGATCAAAAGCGATAAAATCAGGAATGAGATTGGCACACACAAAAAACGTCAACAAAGTCATTTGCTAAATGACAGCAAAGCAAAAAAAAAAAATGGTTTAATCATTTAAAAAAATAGAGTACCTTGTGACTTCATATTATGCAAGACAAATAGGAAAAGACGGTAGAGAACCCACAAGGTAGACTAAGAACAAATTGAAAATTTATAGCATCAGAGAAACTCGACACAATGTTCAAGTTGAGGCAACCAGAAGACCAAGTATAAGAACCCTGTATCTCGGGAAAGTCATAAAAAAGATAGTGAAAACGAGGAATGTCATTGATGGTATGTGCAAAGTGAATGAATGGAAGGTTACCACAGTGAATAGTGTCCCCAGAGATGTAGAATGAATGCAGTAGCAGTTCTAACTATTTAACCGATAACTATACCACTTGGATGAGTCTAGAAAGTATTATAATTAGAAAGTCATCATCGTCGTCATGTGTCTTACTATCTGGGATATAAAGGAGTGCAAGGGAATGAAAGAGGGAGTTTGCTGGCTACAAAAGTCACAGCTGAGGTAACACCCGTACTGGACAAAGGAGACATTCTGAAACCATTGATGAACAGATACTCACAGAAAACGTTAGGTTAGTTGAAATAAAATGTGTCACAATGTATGAATGTATCTGGCAAAAAGGGGCAAAGGAGAGTAAGAGAATGACGTGTGGATAATCAGTGTGCTGCAGGAACAGTTTGCATCTACAGCTTACGACATCTGCTGCAGGAGATAGAGCATATGTGTCGTCCAGTAAGCTATGATGTAGATTCTTCCTTCGACAATTCAGTCTTACAGACTGGTGTGGGTGCTCACGTATCTCAAAATCTAATGATCTCTAAACAGTACGTATCAATTTGGGTGCTGATATAATTCATTTCTGTAAACTCAATAGGAAAGAACAAACATCAATTTTTAGGCTTCGGACAGGACACTATGGTCTTCGAGCACACCTGCACAGGATAGGCATAAAAGAATCTGCTGCCTGTGATTGTGGAGCAGAAAGACAGACCCCTGAGCACATACTGCAGTACTACCCTAACTTCTCCCAGCAAAGACTGTTTATCTGGCCTAGGGGAGCAAGAGAAGTGACCTTAAACACACAATCCTAGTTGTGACCCAGACCGGACTCAATGTTTAGCATGACTGATGTCGAACACATAAAAAGAAGAAAAAAAGATTCATTTCTGTGCATCAGCCTTACATAAGGAATTTCAAATAAGAACTTGTTATGGCAAGGTAGACCCGGCCTTTAGCCTTGGCTGGCAGCTGGTCTAGGAGAGAAGAACTGATAGGCGGACAGAGAGCTTTTGTAGCATCCCATCTTTCATCACGTTTACCAGCTGCAAACTCTGGCAGAAAGTTATGGTTCTTTGTCCATCTCAGGACATTAGTCTTGTTCTAGAACCTAAGTGTTGTCTGCACATTTTACAGACTTATCTGTATGCAGTGGGGCCCCAGAACCCTAAAGGTTGTCCTGTCTTTTATACATAGTGTTACCTAACCTTTGGAATTAAAGCAGGCCAGATGAGGAATCAAGCCGCACCAACAACTCATGGTCTCTAAAATACTGCCTAGACTTTGTGCTGTGGAGAGGAGCAACTTCACCTCAGGCCTCAACTGGTATTACCATGGGATGTGATTCCTAGGCATCCTTTCAGTACTATGAAACATTAACTTCTGGAAAGATGCCGAGAGTCTTTCCATTCCATGACAAAAGGCTTTAAAGAATCTTCCGTCTTGATCTAGCTTCCCACTTTATCCTACTCGCTGCCTTTAACTTTTGCAGCTGGGAAAGATTTAAAAACATAAAACCTATTTTTATCGCAACAAAACAATAACACGGAGACGACTTACGTGTAGTCAAGTAAGTCCTCATTATATGTTGACTTCACATTGAATTTGTCTCTGTTTGCTTGGAACATGGAAGTTGAGTCCCACCCGTCACACTGGGGATAAACAATACAAAGCACCTGACAAAGTAAGGCAAGGAAGATGGGCACTGAAATAAACATGTGATCATTGTATTTACATCACTCTGGGAAGAAACTATACACAAAAATATGCAAGAAACAATACACACAAATATGCAATTAAGTAAAATATTTATTTTCAAAATAAATTTCAAAGGAAAATTCCACAAATAATTTGGCTAAACAAAATCACAACTAAATGAGGAAGAAAACATTATCAGAGGTAGAAGATTAGAGGGCTTGGTCATGTTTGCAGAATGCCTCTTGAGGCAAGGAGTCTTCTCTGATGAATTGCAGATGGGAAAAGGAAGTGTAGACAACCTGAAGAAACCTGGAGAACAGGAAAAAGGGAAACGTAAAATTACACGGGATACCACAAGCTGAAAAACAGCAATGGAGATCACATGTAAATGCCTTATGTGTTAGCAATAATTTGAAAAGGAAAATCTTAGGGAAACTCAGAGGTAAAAAGAATAAAGATTGGTGGGTGCTGTAGTCATTTTCTTTCTTTCCCAGAGTTACCTAATTATGTCCCGTGCAGAGTTGTTGTTTTTAAAGAAAAGAGCGCTGTTACTCACGTCAGAGTGTCTAAAAAAAAGGTTTCAGTATTCATCACAAAGTATCTAATACAGTAGTGCTGAAAAAAAAAAACTATGCCTTAAACAGGTTCAGGTACTGCATACCATTGGGTACCACCAGAAAGAAAATGGTCAATAATTTTTTATTTTTAAATCCACCCTGGTGTGGATTGAAACCCAGCACTTTTGAGCCAAGAGGCAAGCACCCGGCCGTTGCACTCATACTGTCTATTCTTCAGTTTAAAATATTTAATACATATTTTTATTATAATTTTTCAAATAAACTGCCAAAACTGCTGTTTATCCCTTTTGCTATGTAGGTAGGAGGGTCTCTGAGTCTGAAGATTTAGGACTGCATGGCAAGTGCTGTGAGGGTTTTATTTTTGTGCCGCCTTATTCAGCCAGCCGCTCCTAAAACGGCAATACCAACAACCAATCAGAACAGAAAACAACACAATATTACTTCGCCTAAAAAGGAAGAATTCGTGTCCGGGGCATCGTCATCCTGCCAAGGCTGTAATTCTTTCATGGAAGTCTCGGTGCTGCCATTCATCCTACTTGCTATTCCTGAGTCTGTGAAATCTGAGGCTGCTGACAAAATAAAACAGCAGCACTTATACATGGGATTCCTAACACTCTACAACTGGGTTCTGGGCCGAAGCATGTCTCCAGCTGGTCACAGCATTTACATACCAGCCTCTATATTCTAAGTGTCTCCTCCTTCTGTCTCAGCTTTAAAGAGTGGCTGGTACATTGTGGTTTTTGTTTGTTTTTACAGCTAGGCTGCGATATCTGTGCCTTTCTGCCAAACACACTGAATTTTATTACTATTTAAGGGGGAAAGTCAATATCCAAAATTGTGTCTGATAAGTACAGCTGTAGATTCCGCCTCCTCTCATTAAAATGAGTGCTAGATAATTTGTTTGGGGAAATATCTGGGGAGCAAAGGTGGTAAGGAAGGAAACTGGCCAACCCGTCTCATACAGCCTGGTCTGGGGCGGGTAAGAAGCGTTTCTTTTGCACTTCAAGGATTACAATAAAACAGCTATGAATCCCAGCTCAACCACAATACAGATTATCTAACCTCTAAGCAGCGGATGCTGCATTAGCTGAGAAATGAATTTTGTGACAGCCAATTTAACTAAATTACTGTCTGGCCACGAAAAAAGTTCCTCTGATTTGGTGGGCCGTGGGTGCAAAAAAAAGTTTAGGAATACTGGTCTAGAAACTATAAAGGCTTACCCTTCACACCCCAAGGCCAGTGCCTGCTGTGGAACAATCTTTACCTTCTAGGAAATTGTCAAACTCAGTTGAGCTGAGTCAAGAATTGTCATCACAGCGCTCGGGGCATTACCATGTGTACTCCGCCCTCATCTTCAGCAGCCAGGGCAGAGTTCTAATACTAATGGTACCAGTCACAATCTGGTTGTATGTCCCTCTTGCCTTTCCTCTGAGTTACATCCAGGTACCTCATTCTTCTCAGGCCATAATAATCTTCTTTCTCTACTGATCCCGTTACTTGTTTCCAAAGGGCACTGACCACATCTGCCTTGTCAAACTCAGCATTTCAGATATCCTAACACTTCTACAAGTTCATCATCATTGTGCATTAAATGTCACAGAGGACTTGCAGTTCATTTCCTTCTATCCTATACAATCCTTTCAGTTATGAGTTGGGTTATCTTTACAGCAATCCAGATTCGTCTATGGGTGCTCAAATTTCCATTCAACATGTACGTCAGCTCCTGCGGTTAATAATGCCAGCCCTATGCTGGATGACGACCTCCTGTATGTCCGGTGTGCTTTGCGTCTGACTGTGCAGATCTGTACTCTTAATTCTTGCGTCCTTAACAGTGCTTCTCCCAGAATCCTATCTCTCTAAGGGCCGTCCGTTCAATACCTTGGAAGTAATCCAGTCCAGCACCTTTAGCCTTTCTCATCAATGTTGGTTTTAGGGTTTGTTTGGTGATTGCCTGCTCACTTCTTCAAAGGAACAGGACTACAGTCCAGAAGTGAATGAACAACCAGACCTTTCCGCCAGAGATTACAGCTGGTGAACGCAAAGAAGAAGACTTACACAGGCATTGGTTGACCAGATTGCTTTTCCCCAGGTCATATGTTACTTATAACTTCTGATACCCATGGTTGTGCAAACATATGTCTTTTTTCTGCACCATTCTTGAATTCATCTCATTTAATTCTACAGGTTACTTACATGTGGTTCAAACACTTTTGAGTTGTAACAGACTGGAATGATGCTATTAAGACAGAGCCTCACTGGCAGCAGCTTTGAGATTTTTCCAGGCCATAAACCATGGGTTTCTCAGCAAAAAGGACAAAATGTCTGTTCGCCGCTCTACTGATGTGCCAATCCTGAACTATGGGTGTGTCATCGGCAATGACCACAGCTCATAGAATAAAGCTTCAGGCCTCATAAATTAGATATATGAGAAAGGTGGTCTAAGTGACACACAGGGACAAGGTGTGCAACCAAAAAATACATTAGGGTTTTGAAACCCAGGCCTTACAAACTCAAGTGGATCAGTCAGTTAAAATGATTTGGACATGTATGCAGAATGAAGGAGAATCAATCACCATCGGAGGCCACGAACCAGACCACCAGGGCGACGCAAGGTTCACTAAGAAGACAACATTCAACACTCCCTGACTGACAAAGGACTGAAATGGAACAAAGCCAAAAAGAGAACCGGTGATCTCTCTGGATAACCTCTATACCCCAAGGTAGAAGAGGATCAACTAAGTAAGTACTTACATGTGAAAAGACCTTTAAAATCAACTCCATTTGTTTTGCAGACAACAAAATCTTCCTTGGTAATAATTAGGCCAGACTGCTTGGGATTCTTTGTGTGTTCATCATCTGCTTTGACATCTATCATGGCAATGTCTCCCTGTAATAGACAAAATACACGCATCAGATAGCATTAACATTATGCTCAAACTTGTTCAGTATTTGTCATCATACCTGTCCTGTAACGGTTTTCTTCAGGTGGTGCTGGTATTTTGTTAATTGAACACGCAGACAGACTGGCTGAATCTGCACCATTTAGTGGTAAACTGACTCATGACAATCTAGATACATTAGAGTTGTTTTGGGAGCAAGAGAATAGTGCAGAAGCACAAACAGATCATGATGGTTTGAGGACAATGGTGCTAGCAGCGACCAGGGGATCTGGCCGATGCTTAAAACTCAAAAGGAAGACGGATAGACAATCTGTTACTGGTGCCATCAGAATAGGAACTCCTGTTGCTGAAGATGGAGTGCTCATGGAAAAGTTTCGAGACCAGTAATGTTGAGTCTTAATACAACTTTCTGTTTTATGGGCTCTGAGCAACTCAGGATTAACATACAGCATAGTATACATTGTCACCTGTTGCTTGGGCACTGTGCCTGCACTTCATAATTCCGAAAAAGCCAGTTCAATTTCAGCTGCTGGCAATCTGCAAACGTTCAGCTTTGCATTGATTCTAACAATGGTATGGACTGCCAACTGTTCAGGACGCAATGGCTTAACTAGTGAATGTAAAACAGCCTAGTAAAACCAAACAGGCAACAAATACTGTTCTTCATGTACACCAGATGTAAACTCCCGTGGAAAGTTCTGGTTGTTCAACCACCTCCGGATTTTACTTAACTTGTTCCAGAACCTGAGGGTTGCATTTACATCTGTTTTACAAATCTGACTTATTAGTATGCAGACTGTTGGTTCCTTGCCTCTCAGGCAGATGCACTCCAACTTCGAAGATAACTCCCAATTAGTCGACTCTTATGACACGCTTATTAGGGAGGCAGTGGGCGTAGGCGTTTTCCCCAAAATGGGTACCCCAGAACCCACACAGAGAATTCAGTAGTATGTTTTGCAACGCCCACTAAATAAATCACACTTAACTGTATGTTTTTAAACAGCCGACTAATACAAAGATGGGTGCAGGATACAAGTGACTCCTTGAAAATGAGAGTCCTCTGCCTGAGGAGGAAGAGCTAACGAGAGACCGAGTTTCTCTCAGGCAAACCGTGATGAGAGCAAGGTTCTGCAAAAAAACCGGCTACAAGATGGCGATGGTATTCACTATCACTGTGAAAAGTAATGTCTGCAAGCTTAATTTAATGCGGCTGTGGTTACCTCCATCCATCTGCCGTAAAATCAACTGGGACCAAAAAAAAGAGTTAAGTTAGCTGGTGACATTACCTTCTCTGAGAAAGAAACTGTGTGGCCTTTATATCTGTCCCCATTTCTTGTTTTCACTGTTGTTTGTGTGCCCTAAAAAAAGCAATAACGATACATTAAATGATTTTACAACATACGTCTGCTTTTCACAAATGACATTTTGGATTCTTTAACACAAGTATTCTCCCTCAGTAAAACAAATCACAATCTCAAAGCATATACATTTGATAAAGGCTAAAAACTAATTAATCTTGATACGGCTTGTTGTGCTTCTGACCTCAGTCTTTTGTGACTTGCTCCGATCCTCACAAACACTGCCTCTCACCCACCCCCTCCAACAAGCATGACGTTAATGGTTACTAATAAGGAGTGTTTCCTTCAGTCAGAGCCTGAGAGGCAAGGAACCAAAAGTCTACATACAAATAAGTCAGATCTGTAAAATGGAAGAGCATGCAAAACAAAAGTTCTGTAACAAGACGAAAGTCCAGAAGTGGATGAACAACCAGAACTTTCGCAAGAGTTTACAGGTGGTGAGGATGGAAAAAAAACTTACAGGATAAGGCAACCAGTGACCCATTTTTTTTTAGTGTTCACGGGTAGAAGGGTTACGAAAGATCATTTCTGTTCCCAAACATTACAAAATAGTGAATAAACAATGTGAACACAAGTATGTATCACTACTGTAACAGGCAGTATAATATGAAACCATTTATCATACCACGAAGCTGCATAAAATCATGACTGTACGTGGATCGCTGTAGATCCCACGTACTGGAGAACTTGAAGACTGTGAAGTCTGAGAAGGCTGTGGTGGCTGAAAAAAATAAATAATATATTTTGCAAATTCAATTTTAATCCTAATTGTCAAAAGTGAAAATGTTCAAAGCATGAAGAATGCATCGTCGACATTGTCTTTCTTCTGTTTTCTCAGCGCACTGCCATTGTTTTCTGTAATTTGTCTTGCGCTTCTCAGGTGGTTTTGAATGGATTTGTTCATCTTTTTGCACGTTTTAGCTATAACATTTATCCTATTCATGTTCTTGGTCTTTCACTCGCTTTGCTCTAAGATGTTCTGCAATTTAAAAAATTTCATTTCAGTAACATTTTCACTAGCTATGTCAATATAATTCAGTCTTATTCTAAAATTCACTCTCATGTTGCTACTCGTAACTCTGTCTTTTCTTGTGTTGTTCGGTTAGCGACCTTACGTATCCAGACAAATGGATCCAAAGCAAAGTGACCAGACGCCAATTTTTTTCATGAACGCAATACACACTGCAACCCTGAAAACAAGGACGCATTGACCCTCACTGAGTAACTATTTTTTCCCCATACAATCTGTGTGAAAATCATACGGAGACAATTATGAACAGTGACTGCAGAGACGCCAAGCTGTGACCTAACATGGTTTTGGCGAGCAGACGATAAATACATTTATTTTTAGCAGCATGCAGTGCATTTCATGATAAGTCGGTTCATAAATATCTTCTAAATTAGCCAGATTTTTTTTTAAATGTTGCGTTCACTTTTATATATTTTTTTTAGAAATTTTCACAAGGATTGGCTTATAAAAAGTGTTAAAACATATTTTAGTGGCATCACCAAAGTGTTCAATTAAAATATTGATTTATGATTAACAGAAAACGCTTTTGTGTAGGCAGACTGCTGGTTCCTCACCTCAGGCAGAAGGATTCCAACTTCAAAGAAAACATCCCTAATTAGTTGACTCTTACAATTTACTTGTTGGGAGTAGTGGGTCTATTCTATTCTCCCCCCCCCCCCCCCCCCCCCTTTACAATGGGCCCCCCCAGAACCCACACAGGGAACTCGACTCAGCTAGCTATCTTAAAATATATGTCTCTAAAAAATGAGGAGTGGGCCTGTGCTGTACTATATATTAGGCCTCTGTCACATTCAGAAAGTTATGACAGTTTACTGCATTCAGAAAGTTATGACAGTTAAGTGTATAAAGAAAGTGATGAATGTTTGGTGTAGTGAGAAAGTTATGACAGTTTACTGGATTCAAAAAGTTATGACAGTTTACTGTATTTAGAAAGTTATGACAGTTAAGTGTATGAAGAAAGTCATGAATGTTTAGTGTAGTCAGAAAGTTACCACAGTTCATTGCATTCAGAAAGTTATGACAGTGCATTCAGGAAAAAAAATGATTTGAAGTGTATTCAGAAAAAGTTGACAGTGAGAGCTTTAGTGCATTCAGAGAGTAATGATAGTTTAGTGTATCCAGAAAGTAATGATAGTTTAGTGTATCCAGAAAGTGATGATAGTTTAGTGTATCCAGAAAGTAATAATAGTTTAGTGTATCCAGAAAGTGATGATAGTTTAGTGTATCCAGAAAGTGATGATAGTTTAGTGTATCCAGAAAGTGATGATAGTTTAGTGTATCCAGAAAGTGATGATAGTTTAGTGTATCCAGAAAGTGATGATAGTTTAGTGTATCCAGAAAGTGATGATAGTTTAGTGTATCCAGAAAGTGATGATAGTTTAGTGTATCCAGAAAGTGATGATAGTTTAGTGTATCCAGAAAGTGATGATAGTTTAGTGTATCCAGAAAGTGATGATAGTTTAGTGTATCCAGAAAGTGATGATAGTTTAGTGCTATCAGAAAGTGATGATAGTTTAGTGCTATCAGAAAGTGATGAGTATTTAGCAAAATTACCTCTGGCTCTGGAGTTTCTCGCCTGTAATGCACAGCGCTGGCATATCCACCTCTGAAAAGATTAAAAAAGAACTCGGTGAGTCTCATCAAATAAAATTTGAACCACGTGAGGAACCCACTTTCACACTTAGAGACATCAAACAACACCAAAGAATCAAGTGGACATGGTATGTTCATCTGGTTATAATGGAACAAAATTAGCCAGCAGCTAAAGCATACAATGTGAGAACAGCAGGCTACAAGTCAAAAGAGGCACACCAAGAAAGTGATGGGTGGAGGGAGTAAAGGAGACACTGCAGAGAAACAGTATAAAATTAACACAAGACGTAACCAGAGAGTGTAAAAAAAGGGACTCTTATTGAATATCAAGGGGAAAAAAAGAAACAATGATTATATTTTTTTTTTAAGTTAGATGCGTATCCTTCAAAGGATGCTGCAGAACCAACAACAGCATTTTTTTTTAATACTTCCAAAACTAAAGACGCTGAAAAATGTTTTGAGTTTCAACAACAACTCGAAGATGCAAGCCTAAAATAGGATGCTATTAAAGAGATGGGCTTTGAAAAAAGAACAGTTGCATCAGTCTATGGAATCAGAAAACACAGAAGTAAGGACTGGTTTGAAGCAAATAGCCAGACACTATAACCTTTAATTGACAACAAAAAGTTAATACTCCTCAGAAATAAGGAAAGAATAACAAGGAACCACCCTCAATGAATTGTGAGAAGCTAGAAATCATTTGCAAAAGGTAGCTAGACAGTGTGCCAATGACAACTGGATCCACTTATGAAAAAGCATTCAAAATGCTAGCAGTAGTGGTAATGTTAGAGGCAGGTGAACTCAGCTGCATATCCTTACCTGGACGTTACAGAACCAACCGCAGCATTTGTTTGCTGTTGTGGTTTTTCTAGGTAAATTTACCCCTAGTAGTTTGCCATTGCTTTCTGGGCGGTCGGTTTCTCTATACCACTGTTGAAACCAACGCAGGGCCCGCAGCTGGGATCGAACCTGGCACCTCGGCATTATGAAGCGCATTCGCAACGCGTAAGCCACAGACGTCAACGTGAGGCATGTATGAGGGAATAAAGAAGGCCATCTGTCCAACTATTAAAAAAGTGCACCAGTAAAGAGTTTGAATGGGGATATTATTAATGACAAGCAAGAAGCATCATGATAAATGGATGGAACATTATCTGGAGCTTTACTCAGTTGATACTAAACTAACAGATGGTGCTCTTAACGCTATGAAAATGCTACCAACTCTTGACTATCTCGACCCATTTCCAACAACTGTAAAAGTTAGAACTGATACTGATGAACTGGCCAAGGGGAATGTCTCAGGCAGAGATGGAATTCCTAGTGAGATCATTAGGAGTGGGAAAGACATTCTAACCCCACATATTCATCCGCTAATGACATTGTGGCCAGAGGGGCAGGTTCTGCAAAACAAGCATCATAACTATGTACAAGAACAAGGGTGCTTGGAGTGACTGCATAGCTACAGAGGAATATCACTGCTGTGTACTGTCGGAGAAGTACTTGCGAGAGACTCCAGATACTAGGAGATCAGGTATGTTGCTTTTATAGGCATTTGATTTGGTTAGTCAAAAGGGTCTGTTAAACAGTGGAAAAGATTGGGTGTCCACCTACCCTACTGAGTATTACTGAGTCGCTCCACACAAGTATGAACGGTACAAGCAACTTTGAGAGAAACCAGGAGAGAAAAGGGAGAACTGCAATCAATAAAACAACAATTTGCAGACTGCATGGCCTGCCTTCATGTTTTCAGTCAAGGCATAGAACTAACCTTAAAATGAAACCTGCTATATGAAGCTGAAATATTTTGGTCACATAAAGCGCCACGACGGACTGGAAAAAATCACAGCAAAAGGCATGGTACCAGGAAGGAGGGGCAAGGGTCGACCAACACGAAGATGGGCACAGGATATAAGTGACTCCTTGAGTGTGAAAGTGCATGAGGCGGGAGAACTGGCGAGAGACGGAGTTTCTTTCAGGCAGACTGTGATGAGAGCGACATTCTGCAAAGGACCTGCTACATGATGATGTTTGCCAGTACTTTCTAAAAGGCTGGATCTCAATACCCTCATCAAAATCAACGCAAAGCTGTCTGCCGCACAATCCCCTGCAGCTGAAATCAAACCGGGCACCTCGAAATTACAAAGCATGTTTGCACCATCTGAGCCACAGATGCATTCAGCATTAGGTAAAAGGCGTCTTTTTAACTATATGTTCAAATTAGACGTGTTAGGCTGAACAATTCAACTATCACAACTTAGGTGACAGCCACAATATAATGTGCCTGCAACCATTTTAAGGGTGAACAAAGGCAAAAATTCAATCAACATTAATCAACATTAACCCCTTACAAAACAAACATAAATTCTTACCTTCCTGGGGCATGCTGTTGTCTGGACCGATTTCGATTGCGTGGGTTCTGTAAAGCTGTCGACATTTTTGAAACGGAGAATGGTGATTTTGGATGGTTAAAGTTTAAAGGTGAACTTCAGTTAAGTCAAGAATGTCAGAAGTAACATAAAACATCCACATATTCATATAAAGAATAATCCCTGAAAGACTCTGGATTTGAGGCAAAAATGTCACAAATGGACTCAGTAGCTATTATCTACTGCTGAATCCATATATGAAATACACATGCACCGGTGTAAATCATGTCTGTATTTCTCAAAACGTATATGTAAATGTCAGGAGGTGTTATCACCCCACGCTGTTGTTATGGCAACAATTCGAGTGCTGAGGGTTCGAAGACTGTGAATGTGTTGCAATCTGGTGTCGACTGCTCACTTACAGCTGTGGTATAGACAATCTGCTGAGTCGTGTAGAGTTATAGTTCCTTGATGTACCTTCAGATTCTTTGACGTGTGCCTGAAAAGGTTCTGCAGATAGATAAAAGATAGCAGTCTGTCAAAAAAATAATAGCTGTAGAGCACAACAATTACTTTAAAACAACAAACATAATTAGCTATTTAAAAAAAAACTGCCCTTCTATACGACTTGTGAGGTTCAGGCAGCGGGTCTTTGAGCCTGAGAAGCGAGGATATTATTTTGCGCACCCCCCCCCCCCACCCCCACAGAAAAAATCCTTAGCTTTATCGAGGATTCAAACTGGGTCTCCTGCGTGGGAGTCCAGCATTCTAACCATTCTGCCAGCCGCTCCTATGCATAGGATACAAATGTTACAATGTAACAGAACCACTCATTTTGAATGTTTGGGTGGGTGGGGAGGGGGGGCACTGAATTTAAGTGGTGGGGAAAAGATGCTGCCCACTGGTCAGCAGTGGATAAGTCAGAGATAATTATAACAAGAATGTCCTTGCAATGGAATCCCCAGGGTCTCCCACAGTAAGTTCCAGTGTCCCACTGGAAGCAAAACACAAAAAATAGACCCACTGTCACCCCAACACAAGCATGTTCGTAACAACTAATTAATCGGTGGCTTTGTTCGAAGTCCAAGTTCAGTGAATGTGATGATAGGTCTGAGACAGAGGAAAGGCAATGAAACCAAAAATTTGCATTAAAAAAAAAGTTAAGATCAATAAAATGAAAACTAACAGATGTGCACACAACGCTCAGGAACAATAATTAGAATGCAGTCCAGAGGTGGAAGAACAACCATAACAGGCAACTTTTAGCCAGAGTTTACAGTCAATTCATTGATACAAAGCCTAATTAATGAATAATAAAGCATAAAATAAAGGCAGGATGACACCAAAATACTTTAATATAGAAAATTCAAAATATATGAGTGTGGTGAGAAGTATATAGTATATATTAACATATATATATATATATATATATATATATATATATATATATATATATATATATATATATATATATATATATATATATATATATATACTAGCTGTACCCGGCCACGCGTTGCTGTGGCATAGTTTGGCTAAATGGAAATGAAAGAAAATAGAAATCGCACGTGTCTAATGCAATCATTGTCTGCTCAAATATATAGATATAGTCTTTGATCTCCACCCCACATCCCCCCCCCCCCCAATGGAAATCGCACCTGTCTAATATAGTTAATGTCGCAATCATTCTCTGCACATTTATATAGAGATAGTCTGTTTTTCCAACTTTAGAACACGCACCATATAATTGTCTTTATATTAGTGGTCGTCTAAATGGTGCTATTAGCACGGTAACAAAAGTGGTTATTTGGTTATCACATGCTAAAGCTGTTTGTATTTTTATAGGAGACGGAAGTAAAGCTACAACTGTACTTGTAAATAACAAAGTAAGTCGTAAAAAATAGATAAGCGGAGGTAGCGTTAGTAAAATATGAACAAATTAGGTAATGAGAACTTGAAAATCACGTGTAAAGCTCTTTAAGTTCTCTTAAATTAAAGTCATTACCCCCCTACCCTTCCCTCTTCCACCGACTACATAGTATATAGGATAGGCTCTCCTCCGAACTTCTACCAGACATAAGGCAGCCAAACAAATACCCTAACAGGGCCTCAGTCGTGTGTAAAAAGCAGACTTCCTGCGACGAACACTTCACGGCAAAACTAGGACTACTTGAAAATTTCAAGAGACACAAGACTGCAGGCAATAGTAGCAGACAATAATAGCAACCATTAACAATTTTGAGACATGCAACATTACAGACAATAATAGCGACACGCGCTCTGAGGCAGATTAGCATTGTTGTTGTTCTCACACTTTTCGACATATGCAAAATGCAGTCAAACTCACCGTCGACAGTATCCCCTGTGCCGCTACGCGCGGCGCAGATGGGGATCTAAACTAGATGCCTGGGACTCACGAGCAAATAAATTTGAGGAAGTTGCCTTAGATACGGTAGCTGCTGCTCGTGAGTCCCTGTCATCTAGTTTAGCCCCCGCATCCGCGCTGCGTGCAGCGGCAGTGGGGATACTGTCGGCAGTGCCGCAAAGTCGCTTAAAAAGGTCCGCAATTAACACATTGCCGAGACCCTGTTTGAGCATTTGTTTCGTTATTCCGAGCCGATCCTAGTTTTGCAGCGATTTGTTTCTCTGCATAGGACTGAGGCACTGTTATGGTATTTGTTTAGCCGCCATAATTTTGGGCAGAAGTTCGGAGGAGAGCCTATATTAATATATATATATATATATATATATATATATATATATATATATATATATATATATTAATATTAATATATATATATATATATATATATATATATATATATATATATATATATATACATACATATATAATATACATTATATATATAGTACGAAAAACGCCTTTTTACCCGCCGATGGATGACCGTCAGAGTGTTAAGGCATACATAACACATACGACAAGAGAAAGCTGTCCCACAAAGCTAACACTCCCATCTTTTCAATCATTTTAGTCGATGACCACACCACCGCTGGCGTTGGACCACGGTTGAAGTATAATAAAATTAATTCAACACTTTCACGGCTATCCTATCTAAAGAGTACTTACTTGAATATTGTCTGTGTACACGTTGTAAAGACAGGCTCAATGTAACTAGACTAATACTAAGAAAGTAAAGCTGAGCTAGACCTGACCAGCCACTAAACTAAAAAGAAAAGGTATCCCGCACGTACATGAAACATAAACTATAATATAAACTAACTACATCATACTCCATACAACACACAAACCACTGACTGCGTGATCAAATGAAATAAGAATAACCATACTTCCTTAAATAAACGCAGCAAAAAACTCTCACGCTATTTATTTAAAATGTGTGACAAAAGAAAAAATGAAAAGGTCGTATACACCATGAACTAGAAATGATCAAATGGTTTCAGTTTCGAAGACCCAATAGTGGTCAATCCATCCACCATTGAACAAATATGGCCGACATATTCATACACAACTGTTCGCAACAGAAATCTAATAAACTTTGCGCTTGTTCCCATTTCAAAACTTAAAGAAATTTTTACAAACTATTAAAATTATAGGCGGTTAAAATAAATACTTTACATAAAAGTGAAAAGTGAATTAACAGGATTTAGTATTTTTATTTGTTTTGGTACTCTTTCGAGTATTGTGTACATGCGTGATTCGGCTCAACGAGAACTGACGAGACAGAGCATGGCTTCCTGCCTTCCCCCTTTTCAGTGGTACAACAGGTAGTTGGACAGTAGATGGACAGGTACAAATGTTGAGTTCTTTCGCGCCTTTGTTTATGGGACACTGAAAGTTAAATAAATTGTCTGCCGTCTCCAAAATAAAAAAATTAGTTAGGGCACTGGAAAAACTTTAAAATAATAACCAGATAACTTTGAACTGAAACCCACATGGTCAAAGAAATAAAGGAAGGCACAAACAATACATAGAGGAATTAATTAGAGCCTGTGATGAAAAGTTAAAGGTATGGCGCCTCTTACCCGCAGATGGCCATGACAGTTCTAAGTTTGTATATACACCTGCCTCAGCAACTAAGCTCCCTTATTCTCACTGACCACTTCAGTAGCACACGAATGTTAATCGCCCTTTTATTTAAGGAAGAAAGTACACACACAAAATAGTATTCAATAAGAGTATCCGTAGCACTTATAAATCTACGGAAGTCAAAGGAAATTAAAACTAGTACCAAACTTGAAGTTAATAGCTCTAATGTCAAATCGGTACGGTTGTATGGAGCTGGAACACCGAGACTAGACTACATCAACTAATAAAATATAAATAATCATTAATTATGCAAAACAAAAAACAAAAAGGTAACAACGGGTAAAAGTAGCAGATATAGAGCTTCAGGGGATAATTATCATCATCATCCCGTAAAACCACGTGTCGTTGGGTCACGTTTCTGTTGACTGTTTGATCAGCTCTCCCCACCTTTGGCAGTCAGTTGCGATGGACTTCATGGTTGCATGCCTGGGGCCTGTCCGGTCAGTCAGGTTCTATAACCAGGTCTTTCTTGGTCTGTCTCTTCTCATCTTTCCCTCTACTGAGCCCTGCAGTATTGTTTTTGAGAGGCCGTTAGATCTCCCCAAAAAGATATCCATACTAGGGATGTACTGAATATTCACTTCGAGGCAGAATAGTGGACCTAATAACTATTCGGTTTTCGGCCGAATACGAATAGTGGTTACCTTACACCCGTTTCTGCATACACTGCAATGGACTGAAATTACTCTCTCATTAGCACAATAGTTGCTGTTGCCTAAGTCTGTCGTAGCGGGGGAAACTGCGACCCAGTTGCGTGGTACAGAAGCTGGCAAGGTCTTTGCCTGCTGACTCGACCGAGGCATTACAGAAGAGGTTTGGTGATAATTACACAACTTCAAATGAACCAAAAGATGGGGAACAGACGCAGCCGTTGCCTAGGCCATATAAAAAAAAACTTGATAGTTGAATAACGTTTGGGATGGGGGCGGGTGAGAGTAACATTGATATTTTGTCAGTGTGTTGGGAAACAAGCAGGCAGAGAGACTGGCCGCCTCTGCA